ACGTTTAGCTGTTATTCACAGAAGTATCCTGAGAGTTTTTTATTTGAATATGTGATAATCCATACATTTTCATTTTGGAAGGTGATTCCTTCCCCCCCCCCAAAAAAAACTAACACAACTGTATAGTATTATGAAATAAATCTTAACTTTTAGAGAAAATCACCAATATATTTCTACTATTTCTCATACGCTCTTTAACCTTGAATGTTGACTTCTCATTTCAACAAAATTGACAAGGTTAATTTCAGTGAGAATCCATTTGAGGCTGGTCTTTGTTTCCATTCCAATTTCTGAAAACATGCTGACCACTGGCATCAGCATTTCCAAGTTTCTTTTTTTGTGTGAAATAACAAGTCATGTTACATATACAATAACAATACGTGTGATTTCCAAACTTCCTTTTAGCAACAGAGCAACAGAACTCTCTCATCAAATAAAATTTTATGCACCCACAGTCCAAATATAGCAACAAGAAAGCTCTGCTGGTCCACAAAGACTAGGGTGAAATAAGCATGCCGGAGAGCAAGAGCGCCGCCTGCTGGCCAGAAATTCTCCGTCAGGCTGTCCTAGCGCTCTTTAGACCCTACCTCATGAACCAAGGCAACAAAAAATACACAAATAACAGTACAAACTCTGCAGTTCAGAAATGGATGGCAACTGTGCAGAGTGAATTTTTCACAGACAGGGAGCACTACATCTGATAACAAACACTGTAAAAATCATATTTACCACAAAAATGGTGCAAGTAGTAAGAAATGGATTAAGAATGCCATTTAGCTACCTGAAAACGCCAATCTTTAAAATTCATTTGTAAAGTGACCTGGAAATGACTTTTCAGGGATGCCTGGCTAGCTCAGTCCATATAGCATGAGACTCTTGATCTCATGGTCGTGAGTTCAAGCCCTGTGTTGGGCACGGAGCTTAACTAAAAAGAAAAAAGGTTCTTATTTTATTATCTATTTTTAAAGATTTTATTTATTCATTCCAGGGGTGGGGAGCAGAGGGAGAGGGGCAAGCAGACTCGGCGCCATGCGCAGGGCACAACGGAGGGCTCGATTTCAGGACCCCGAGATCAGGACCTGAGCCAAAACCAAGAGCCAGATGTTCAACCGAGCCACCCAGGGCGCCCCAAAAGAAATGATTTTTAAAAGACTGAATTTTTAAGTCAATATTTAAAAGGTCATGCCTGAAAATGTAGTAAGATAGGGAAAAGTATATGGCTTTTCTTGGGTAAATACTACATACTGTTGGTAAGACATCCCTTGAGGCATGCCTAAGTAACAACTCGGATCTTCAAGAAGGATGCCTCCAATTAATTGCAAGGCTTTTGTTTTGCTAAGTGAAGTAAGCACTTTGAGAGTCAGAGCTAAATTGTCATGGGCAATAGTGGAAATGCTGCACATTGCCAACTGTTTTCCCATGTGTTATATAACCTCTCCTCTAAATATCAAGCATGTATTTAAGAATAATAGTTTGAAAGGGAACAAATTATTAACCTTCCCTAAGTGACTGAATGTTTCCATATGGCCCCAGTATTAATACATATTACCTTGCGGGTGGTTTAAAATTTGAATTTGCACAAATCAAGCACCAACCCTCTAATTTCAAATGACATAATACTTTCAACTCAACAAGTAGTTTGAAGTCTGTCTTAACTACTTAACCAGATTAAAAATGCCATAAAAGCAGGGACCATGTCCTTTTCATTTTTGTATGCTCTATAAAGCCCAGCATGCTACTTTATACATAGCAAGGTACTAGTCCACTAGATAAACAGTTACTGAATTATTAAACTGCTTCCTTCACCAGGCTCTTCAAATTTCACCTGCCCAAAAATAATTAATTAGTTTCACCTCGAAACCCTACCTCTCCCCCCCCTCACCTAACTCTCTAATGTTTACCTCACTGTTGGGATGAAAATAATTTTGAACTGTATTCAGTACTGGGAAGGTATGGTGGCAGGCCGTAAGGAACCCTCCCAAAGCCGTTTCCCAAGAGAAAAGGAGCGAGGAAGGTAAGCCCGACTCAGAAAAATACAAGTCCTTTTTCATTAGATTTGAAAAGTAATTCTGAGCACATCATGATGTCTTACTCAAACTTGTTACAGGCACAAAATTATAGATCGATATCTGGAAACTGGGAAGAAGGGTATAAAAGTGCAGGTGTCAGGGCTTAGGTATATAAAAGAAAGAAATTATAATTGAAAAAGTACTGGGTCTTTGATTTCTGGTAAGATTGAAGTCTTTTCATCAATTAATTAGCTGCTATTCTTTTACTGTCCAGAGTTGTTTGCTCATTTAGCTATTAGATAACTACTGTTTTTCTAATTGATAATAACAGTCTTTAGAAATTCATAGTTCATTTTTCTTGCATTTTTCCCAGTTTCTTTTTAGTGGCTATTTTATCATTTTTTACAAATACTACACTAACTTTTTAAAATTAATTTTTAACCCCCAAAACTAGCCCATTATACCAGGAACATTTATAGAACAATAATTTCAATTATTATCGATTTGAGAGTCTACATTTATTATATATTAAATGTATAGAAGGGTCTGTTTTTAGAACTATTTTGTTCCATGATTCCATCTACTCTTATACCTGTACAATACTAATATTATTTTTATAATGTTTTCATATTTGGGGAGGATAAAGTCCTATCAATACTTTTTCCTGGAAAAATAAGAAATCTTATTTAGTTTTGTTTAATTTTGCTTCAACTCTTGGAAGAAAAGAGAAAATAGAGTCCTCTATATCTGTGTGGGATCTGGGTACATTTTCTCAAGTAAACAGCATCCCAGTTTATTTTTATTTTATGATTAATTTGTCAAGGTGTGTTAAAACAGTGAGTTAAATGGGAAGCAATTGATCACTTGGAAGCATTCAACCTCCTATCCAGGAGGAAGCCTCATTTCTCCATTTGTTTATCGTTAGGTAAATAGAACCACATACCTTTTCTGGAAGCTGTGCCTTCAGATAACTGCAGATGATAGCTGCTAAAGATATTTTACACTTTCTCAGGCTAAGAAAGACTCCTCTCACCTAAATATCTGAATAGGACTGTAGTTGATGATCTTCTGAATTCAAGATGGAGTTTTCACTTCATGATAGTATCTGAAAACTAGGAGCCAAGAAAAGAAAAAAGTTGAATGGAAAATTTCTAGGAGAAACAAAGTCCAGATTCGTGGCTATTGAAGTGCAGTTTGCAACCCAATGGTGAGTTGCAGAATATTTAATAAACCTTCAACAATTTCTTTAAATGAAATTGAGATATTTTCTAAGTACTGTTTTGTGGAAATTTGTGTAACACATGGGTGTGAGTGTGGGTGTATGTGTGTGCGCACACGCGTGCTGGATCTGAATCAAAGATACAAATGAATTTCTGACTGTGATAAAGTTTATTCTAACAAGGGTACCAAGGTATTTTTCTAAACTGAACAGCATAAATGATGATGTTCCCAATCCATTTAAAAAAAAAGTTTTCCTGGGCACCTTGGTGGCTCAGTCCATTAAGCGTCTGCCCTCAGCTCAGGTCATGAACCCAGGGTCCTGGGATCGAGCCCCACATCAGGCTCCCTGCTCAGCGGCGAGTCTGCTTCTCCCTCTGCCTCTCCCCCAACTCATTCTCTCAATCTCGCTCTCATGCTCTCAAATAAATAAAATCTTTTAAATAAGTAAATATTTCCCCCTATTTCCAAATTATATCTTTATGACTTGGAGGATAGGTTATTTTCATGTTTACTTTCTTGAGAGAAAAATATCTTCATTCCTTCATTCCATGCTTGTGAGGTTCCCCATATCTAGACTAAGAGCCATGGTCTCAGAACAGATAGGGCCCCAATTCATCAGGATGTTGTTTACTCAAGAGAGAATGTGCCAGCCTCCACACAGATTTCATTTTCTCTTTTCTCCCAGGAGTTTAAACTAAAAATAAAAGTACCGAGCCCATAGTAAGCCTATTCAAGGTATGCATATTGTAATATTGTTCTTACAGTGCTCAAATTTTTTAACCAAATAAACTCAGAACATACTTATTCCTTTTTCATCTGCATAGTACTCTGAGCCGTAAGAACAAACACAAGAAGGCTCCTACCTGATTCATTTTATTTATTCTATGGTGTACTCTAGCTACTTACTCTTTCTTTTGTGAAATGGCATTATCTTCTTTCTAAGGCTAATTCTATCTAATCTTCACCGTGCCCAAGTGCATTATAAACCAGTCTAAATAATTTAACTTCCCAGCTTTGCAAATGGAGACCGCAGAGGTAGTCATAATTGCACTGTTCCCTGAACCATGCGCAATCTCTCCCCAAGTGAGATTTTAATCTAAAGGATTTTGAATATATACCCTTAACATGAAAAATTTTTGTAATGATTCTGTGTGTTGCCTTTGATGTCCCCTAGGCTTAAAGAACAAATAATTTGCCTGTAAAGACATATAGAGTGACTTGAATATTATAAATTAAGATAACAGTATGTAAACAAACTTAGCTATTAATAGCCCTGAAAACTCAGAGATCTTAATATTCTTCTGGCCCTACTAATTTATCTCCAAATATTAGAGAAATCAATCTGGTAGGTCTATTCAGTGTGGTGAGTAGGGTCTGGGAAAATTAAGGCATACTGGTAATCAAGAGCTAACCATATCAAACTGCAGTCTCTGTCAAACCTTATTAAATATAATTTGGAAATAATCTCATTTATTTATTAATAATCAGATGCTTGATAAACACAGATGTTTCCTAACTAGGATTTCTCTCCACCACAAAAAAAGCTAGTGCCATATTTATTGCATCAGTAGGTTGCCTTGTGACCCACATTCCCATACACTGACTCTAAGTTTCATAAAAATAATTGTTTTAAAGAACCTGTTGAATTTTCTGAGGAATTCCTTAGATAGCACAGTGCTGTTTTTCCACTCATAAAGTAAAAGATTTCCTGGTCAAATGCACTCAGGTAGCAGGTATTTTTCAAAATTTTTAGTGAAAACTTACTACTTTATTTTTCAGAGATTATATTTGAAACATGGCTCAGAGTGACTTCCTCTACCCAGAGAACCCACGGAGAAGGCAGGAAGTAAGCCGTCTTCACCAGCAGCTTCTTGACTGCTTATCTGATAGTTTCCATGCCACTAATACGCTGACTGAGGTCTTAAACATGCACTTGGGGTGCAGGCTGGCCTCCATCGAGATGAAAAGAGATGGGACCATCAAAGAAAACTGTGATATCATCATCCAAGCCATGATGAAAATCCAAAAGGAATTGCAAAAGGTTGATGAAGCACTAAAAGATAAGCTAGAGCCAACCCTTTACAGAAAACTTCAGGATATTAAAGAAAGGGAAACAGAGAAAATCGCAATAGTACAAAAGGTCATTTCAGTCATCCTGGGAGAAGCTACTTCCGCAGCCAGTGCTGTAGCTGTTAAACTTGTGGGCTCAAATGTCACAACTGGCATCATTAACAAGTTGGTCACTGTGCTAGCTCAAATTGGCGCTTCTCTCCTTGGAAGTATAGGAGTTGCTGTTCTTGGCCTTGGCATAGATATGATCTTCCGTGCCATCCTGGGAGCAGTGGAGAAAACACAGCTTCAAGCAGCCATTAAAAGTTATGAGAAGCATCTGGTGGAATTCAAGTCCGCTTCAGAAAAATATCATCATGCCATTGTTGAGGTCACCAACACAGTTAAACACCAAATGAAATGAACAGCCACTGTGTCATTGGAATATTTTTCTGTTTTTCTCAATAATAGTGTTTTGCTTCTTTGATTAGGTTCATTTTCCAAGTTTCCAACATGGACAGAAATAGAGTTAACAAGTTGGAAAGATGGTTTAAGGGATGCTAAAACTTGAGGACTCCAGAGTTTTGTATCAACAACGAATGCCTAAGTCAGTTGGTGCTAGACCCTGCGAGGTTAAAGATTATATCCCAGGATACCTTCTTACTCTGCTCTACCAGACCAACATTAGGTTAAATGCTATTGTAGAAGAGCAGGTGTAGGGGTTACCTCTTCCTTTTCTAATTCACCACTGGCTTCAGACATCATTTATTTCTAAGGGGATGTACTTAGTAACTTCTGCCTAGACACAAACTGTGGACCTTTGAATGAAATAGAAATACTACCATAATTTTGACCTTCAGCTTAAGTCCAATTTTCAATAAACCAGAAGAGACTGAAATACGGGTTTTAACAATTTACTTCAATGATCAAAGGACGCAATGGTTGTTACTTCCACTAATTACACCCTATAAACTCGAATGGATTTTTAAAAGATAAAAGTTAAAACAAAAGATAAAGGTTCTGTTTCTATAATTGCAATCAACCCTGACCAACTGCGGTGTGATGATTAAAAAGCCCTCATGTGAATGTTTGAACACCCTGGAACATTTTAAAAAACAAACATGCAAATCCCAGCTACGCGTGCATAAAATGCATTTAGGATGCAGGGGAGGAAGTTGTTACTCTTTCAGGAATTTGTCATTTAAAGGAGAGTCATAATTTATTACCTCATGAGTTTCCAGAAAAATGAAATTTCATTTTTTACACTAGCAGAATGGAGGATGCTGGGGTGCCTGGGTGGCTCAGTCGTTAAGTGTCTGCCTTCAGCTCAGGTCATGATCCCAGGGTCCTGGGATTGAGCCCCACATCGGGCTCCCTGCTCAGCGGGAAGCCTGCTTCTCCCTCTCCCACTCCCCCTGCTTCTGTTCCTGCTCTTGCTATCTCTCTCTGTGAAATAAATAAAAATCTTAAAAAAAAAAAAAGAATGGAGGATGCTGTTCTTGCTACATAAAACTTTAGGTGCCCCATTTCATTAATTATCTGATCTCAGAAAAATCCAGAGGCTAAGGAGGCCTAGTGGTTCAGTTAACTTCTGCAGACACAAGTGTTTCCTAAATCCTTCACCAACCAGTAACTCCCCATTGTGACTCTTAGGTTCTACTTACATAATCATTAAGTTTGGTGTTTGTTATAGTTGATTCTTGCATCTAAGTACAAGGAATGTGTTGAAATTTTAAAAAGCTAAGCATATGTCAAAAATTCAGAAGCTAGATGAAAGACTTTAATTATTCAAATGGACTCTTCATTTTTCTCTTCTGTCACTGCTTCTTAAAATTAGTTGCAAAACTAAATTAGTTCACCTCCAAAATTAAACTTTATTACTTAACTTACAAGTTCTAAACTACAAGACCTTGTTATTGCTTTTTCTGGGACTCAAAACTCAGCCTAAAACCAAATCAACAATTTTCTAAGACAAGAATTTTCAAAGACTACCTTAGTTTAGGTAAGGAACCCATCTTAAATGGTTAAGTGCACATTTAAATATTCTGCTGTTAAAAATTAATGTGTTATCTCTTTCAATATTTTGGAATATTTATAATTAACAGTAAATACTGACCCATACCTATTTTCCAATAAGGGATATTTAGATCAGAAATAACCAAGGGTATCTCTTAAAAATAAAATGTTTAAATATTTAAACTTACCTTTAAGAGGGAAAAGATAGGGTAAGAGTCTTAGACAAAGAGAGGACAGATGAGAAGGGAAGGACGAAGACTAGACCTAAGTGATAATCCGTATATACGTATAGTGACATCATAAAGGACTTCTAGCTGGTGAGAAGACCAACAGGGAAGAGAAGCCAATAAAAAGGAAACTCGCCAAGCGTAAATTTAAAACTGACTGCACATGTATCCCCACATTTCCTGTAGATTACTGTAGATTACTTTATCCGTAGATGAACAACCTGGGGCTCTAACACGGGCACTGATTTATTTGCTCAGGTCTACATATGTTCTGTGTGCCTATAAAATTCCAGACGGACATGACGCCAGGAAAGCGCAACAAACGGAGCAGCAAATGTTATTCAGGGATCCATTTTCAAACAGACACAAGAGATCGCATTCGCTTACACCATGAAAAAACAAAATCCAAAAACCAATACAATTCCACCCTACAGAGACAGCAAAACAGCTCCCTGGCCGGCATGAGCCGGTCTCGTTCATCCCAATAAACACAGCTTCGGGAAATTAAGTCAAACTGTCTCGCTCCGAGAGGCAAAGTCGTCTTCGCATCAGCCAATCACCTATCCCACCCGCTTCGTTTTTCTTATTTCTATTGGTCTAAAGAAGTGTCAATTGACATGTTTCTGCGTAACGGGGGCGGAACCTTAGCAGAGACTCAGCCAATTCGGTATCGATTTGGAGCGGAAGAGACTCTGGTCCTGGAGTTCTTGGTTGCTCTCTATGGTGCCAGGGCGAAGAAACGCTAAGATCTTGGACCCTTAGGGGTAGGAAGTGACGTACGGATGGCGGAGGGGCGCGAGCTTTCAAGATGGCGGTGGCTGGGTGGCTGACCGGCACACAGAGGTGAAGGCCCCTACGAGGTAAAAGACGCCGAGAATCGTCCTCTCCCCGCTTCTCGCAGTGCCAGGAGTCCAGCAGGAGTGTGAGTGTGCAGGATTGTTTCACTCCGTTCCTTCATCTTTTCCCGCCTTGCCCCGGGTCCGCGCGGTTGCCTCGGGGACGCCAGGCCCCTCCGCTCGGTTCTTCCTCTTCGCGGTTTGGGTCTCCCGGGTCACGGACCGGGGGATCGTGGAGCCAGGGGCGGTGCGGCTTCCAGCAGTTAAGCAGCTGTTCATCCGAGTCGGTTCGCGCCGCCTCCTGCCTTTGCTCGTTGACCGGTTACTTTAGATTTGACGTCTTCTTGTACCTCGAGTCAGGGTCAACCGTCGCTATGGTTTCGGCAGTTGCTGCTGCTGTTACTTCTTTTGGTGGATCTGGGCTCCGTTCCACTGCAGCCTCTTCGGTTCTGTGGCCCGATTTCCCTATCGTTCCTGCTTTTAGACAGAAAGTAGTTTGTGCACGCTAAGGCTCCATTGTCTTCCGTAGAAATTCTCTGTAATTCCTATCTGTTCTTTGTTTTGCCTGTGGGAGAAGACGGTCAGAACAGGAGCCCGAGGGTAATTGAGAGAGGACAGCAAAAAAGATAAACAGGCCATCAAAGACAGGAGAGCCCATTTATACTAATTTTGTTTATTTCGGCCTCCCTTCTCCCCCACTCCCAGTTTTTCTGAGAAGGAAACCCTGGACAGGTTAAATTAGTTGCCACTGGAACAGCTCTGAAGCATTTAGCAGAAATCAAGGCATTAACTAATCAACTTTTCTGACAAAAATCTTCAAGGGAGAAGGGAAGGTATAATTAATTGTATGGGCTACTGAAAAATTTACCTCATGATCTTCCCTTTCACACCCTTTAAAAGTCTACTTTCAAAAGGAGGTAAATTTGTCAACTTTATTATTGGGAAGAATATTAAAAAGTTAAACGACTGGAATAAGAAAGAAACAACATAATAGTGTCTTAGGTTAATAAAAATTTTGGCTTGCAAAACATATTCTCTCAAATACAGTCATCCCTTTCAGTTACCATAAAAAATAGAAATCAGGAGTCAAGTAGGTACTGGTAGAAAAATACGTGTCTTGACGTTTTTGGACTCTACTCCTTCATGTAATACTTTCATTTTTAATATTTGCACTTTCAGTTATGTCTTAAGCTCTTCAGAGTCAAGAATTATATGTGAATTAGAACTAAATTTGAATTAAACAGGCTTAAATTAATGAGTTTATACTATCTTACAGACGTTGAGAATACATGTGAAGAAAACCAGGGAGAGAGTCAAGGGTGACCTTTTTTTTTTTTTAAGATTTTATTTATTTATTCATGAGAGACAGAGGGAGAGAGAGAGAGAGAGAGAGAGAAGCAGAGGGAGAAGCAGGCTCCCCGCGGAGCAGGGAGCCAGATGCGGGACTCAATCCCAGGACCCTGGGATCATGACCTGAGCCCAAGGCAGACGTTTAACCATCTGAGCCACCCAGGCGCCCAAGGGTGACCTTTGTTGTTGAACCCAGATCATTACCCCCATTCCCTTTTTATTCCTTTCACCCTACATGTAAACAAAGGGAGGGTGTAGGAAAAGGACTAATGGCTTTTCATATTCATGGTTTATCCCATATTGTTGAAGCACTTTCTGATGGATTTTTTTTTTTCAATTCCAGAGTCAGTCCGTGATCCATTTAAAAAAGTTAATAAAAGGAATGTTACTTTTAAAGAGATCGGCAGAAAGAAATTTCATAATATAAAAAGGAAGAAATTCTGTAAATAAATCAGAAGAATAAGCTATTTCTTTGTCTTTGCAGGTTTTTTTGTTTTAATGAACAAGTAAATCATACAAATTGTCAACATGGGACGGAGATCTACATCATCCACCAAGAGTGGAAAATTTATGAACCCCACAGACCAAGCCCGTAAGTGTCCATTAGTGTGGAGTGATAAAAATTCCAAACACCAGAGAATCTATTATGTCTTAATTATAAAATCAGCATTGCTAGGAGTCAGTTGTATAAAGTTATCCAGTGTTGTGGGCACATGATGAAAACTTTGAACATGCAAAAAAATGCCGATATTTTTAATTTGATTGACTTGCAAAGTAGAATTGGCTTGAAACTTTCTTTCTGTATTTGAAATTTTGGACAGATTAGTTTTGAGAAGGTTAAAACAAAACTTTCCTCAAGATTTTGGTTGGCATAATTAAAGGTTGCTATTGGCATCTGGTGGGTAGAGGCCATAGATGCTGCTAAATACTCTGCAGTGCACAGGACAGCCTCCCACATTAATTTTTGTATTAAAATGGAGAAAATGCTAGCGTTC